CCTCCTCTTTCTCCGCGCTCGGTCCAACTAGCCTCGATCTTTCTCCGAGTCGCTCTGCCCGCTTTTCCTCCACCCTCTAGCTCGGGGATCTAGGGATCTAACTCGCGATCGACGCGAGGAGGAATCGCGGATCGATAGGGGTCGCTTGCACGATTTCTGGAGTGAGAACAAAGAGGCGCGGATACCCCCTTCGCAGTCACCGACTCGAGCGGTGTATGCTAATTTACCAGGAATCCCTTTTCTTCTTCTTCTTCTTCTTCTTCTTCTTCTCTTCGTCCTCTCCTTCTTTCCTCCTCTTCCTCCTCCTCTTCTCCATCTTCTTCTTCCCCTGCAGCCGCTGATGCTGTTACCGCTACTACCTTCTTCTCGTTCGTCGAACGTTGGACAGAAGAATGAGTCGAGTCCTCGGATGACCAGGTGGTCCCCCGTTTGCGCGTACACACCCGAGTGCTCTCGACTTTTTCCCTCGCTTCGTCTTCGCTCCCGATGATCTCGACGTCGAATCGCTTTAGTTAAATAAACCCGATCTCCGGCTCATTGTCCCCCCGCCCGCGTGCTCGCCGACCACGGTGATATCCGCTCGGTTGCGGCGGATCGATCGTAAAAACGCGCGTATCGTGGAATCGTGATCGGATCGGAGGGGGCCACCGCGACCGAAGGGGCGGAGACCGACCTTTCGTTTTGACGCCTGAACGGATTCCGCTCGGCTCTGGTCGCAAGATATTTCCAATATCGTAAAACCATTAATTACCCGGTGGACCCGGTGTCCGTGTGTATCGGCTCTCGCTCTGCCTCCGAACCTTCTCCTCCTCGACCGCCACCACCTCCTCCTCCTCCTCCTCCTCCTCCTCCTCCTCCTCCGCCTCACCCGCCCCCAGCGTCGGTCGACTACTTAGGTGGCCGTCGCTGACCGGATGATGTATTTCGGCGTTTTTGCTCGACATTAATAATAACGTCTCTCGATCCCGACCAGTCGCTTCTCCCGTGAAAGCGCCTCTTTCCTCCGCTCGGTTCATTACCGATCCCACTTTCCGTTCCCTCCGCCGCTCGCTTTTCTTCCCCCGTCGTCCTCCGCGCAGTGCCGGCTTCGATTAATCTCGTCCCAGCTCGCGAGACGTCTCCCTCGACGTCATCCGCGTCGCCGGCGTCGCGAACCACGACCGATCCGATCGTCCCCCGATCGTACCCCTATCGCGACAACGTCTCGCTGCGATTCGTCGCGGTCCGACCCCGAACCTCCGCCGCGCGAAATCGATTCGAGCGTGTAGCTTCGCGAAGAGCGAGCAGCCGTTTCGAGATAGCCGCGTGACGGGCTAACAGAACTCGTCTAAACGAACTCGTCTCGCGAATTCCAAGCCGATACCACGAGCGAGAACGGGGGCGGGGACGGGGAGGGGGGGAGGCAGGCGGAGGAACCGAGGGGGAGAGATAAAGCTAGATAGGATAGGAATCTGGTTGTCGATGAACGCCTCCGAACACGGTGTACGGGGAATCGCGATCTCGTGCTTTCGTTCCCACAGTCGGCGGGGACGTGGATTCCGCAGGAGATTCCCTTTGCTCGTTCCGCGGAAGACGGCCAAAGACGGCAAAGGGAGCGGCGGCGCGCGGGGCAGAGCGGACGAGCGCGCGCGAGCCAATTCGGCCGAGCGAGCGGAGGAAGGAACGGCGGCTGAACGGGAACGGGTAAGGAACACCGGGAGGGTACAGGGAAAGGGAACGGGAGAAGGAAAGTATCGGCGGAGTCTTATAACACGCCAAAACACCGATAATTCGACCGTGTGGTCCCGAACGTCAGCCGATATTCTTTCCCACGAATGGCCCTCGGAAAGGACGACCAGATCCAGGACCCGCCAAAAGGGATTCCTGCCATTCCGACAGCCTATGCTCCGGCAAACGCGTTCACGACCCACCTTCTTCCCAATCGCAAAAACGATAAATTAGTTGATTTACTCGCCCGTTTTTTATCGGAAATAATTCCTCCGGAGGACGAGATCTCGCCGGAGTGGAAGATTAGGGCAACAGGAAGCACGCCGGACTTCTTCGTCCTCTCCACCTCCTCTTCGCTTCTTTTTGCTCCTCTCTAACCCCCCCCCCCTCTCTCTCTCTCTCTCACTCTCTCTCGTCGTTTCCTTCCTGCACCTTGGTCCCCGTAATCGTTTACTTCGACCTCTCTGCCGGGTTCCCTTTTTACTTCCCCCGTGTTCCGTTTGCGTCTTCCCTTCCGTCGCCCCCGCGAGACCGAGTTGCGGACCAACCCCTCTGCTCGCGAGACGCTGCGCGGAACGAGGGAAACTCGGCAGAGTTAGGCAAAGTCGGGTAGAAGGATAAAATCGAGGCAGGAAGGCGGGCGAAACGGCACGCGGCGCGTCGTGGCCGATCACACGCGCGTGGCATCCGTGATGGGGCCCGGGGCTCACGGCGCGACGCGAGCCCGTGTCTCGAGGGGGCCCTCTCGATTGTCAACCTCGTGGACCGAATTTCGTATTCGTCCAGCATAATGAGCCCCCTCCCCCCGGGGAAGACGAATCTTCTCGCGAGACCGTGAGAGAGGACGACTCCGTCCGTCTCGCGGGTACCACGAATCTCGACAGCTTTGCCTCGCCTCACCTTTGTCCTCGAATCGCGCTGTTCGATGGTGCAAGAAGACGCTGGCCGGAGACGAGACGAGAGCGGAATCGACACGCGTCGGTCGTAAAAGTAGAGAGACAACTGGTCCCGCGGAGAAATCCTTGGGAGATGCAGAGGTTGAGCGGGATCCCTGGAAGATTGCGGAGCGCGTGACGGTATGCGTAATAATAGTAAAAGCGAATGAATCCACGTTCGCGCGGTATATCTCGGCGGATTTGGGGCCCGGTGGGGCCGTAACGTGGCACCGTAAGGTGGAACCGTACCGTCTCCGCGACGGCGACGCCGGGGCCCGCGCTCGGTGGGGAAAGGGGGCACAGCCGCAGAGTGCAGGAGCAGCAGCCACGGCAGCGGGTAAAAAGGCTGGCTGCCGAGGGAGGCGGTCGCGCTGCCGGTGCTCGAGTGACCGTGATGGAGACGAGGGGGTGGTCGGCCGAGATCAAAGGCACCGCCGTGAGAAGTGGCCCGGCTGCTCGAGATTCTTGTCTGCCGGGACGCTGGGAGCCCCTCGCGCGGCAAGAATTTGTTTTAGTATCGCGGCGGACCAACCCTTCCTGGTGTGCCACCTAATTCCATCGCGCGTGTGCGCTCGCGCGCGACCCTGCCGGTTTCGCGAGGGAAACGGCGGATCGCGGTGCGAATCGATCGAGAGAGGGCCCCCGATGGAACCGGCCGTACGATCGTAGTAGTACCGGGCCGACGAACGCTCTCGCCGGAGCGCTCGATCGTGCTCGATCGACGCGCGGACTCTCTCGGAATGCGCTTACAAGTGGAAATACCGATCGTTAGGAAAGAACGAGGACAGGAGCGGAGTGGACGACGGAGGCTGGGGACGACGGACCGCGGAGAGAAAGGGACTGGTGAGGGGCCAGGGGCGGCGGGAGTGTCGGAACCATTAGCGCGGATGCCTGTTCGTATGCGGTCAGAATCCTTTTATCCCGTACAGAGATTCCTGCGGGATTCCTTCGTTCGTTATCATCGCGTGCAGCGCGCGGCCAAGGAGAAACGAAACAAGGTAGAAACGTAGGAGGAAGGAACGCGATGGGAAACGAGCGTGCGAGAGGAAGGGGGTGGCGGGGGAGAGTCGAACCAGTCCTCTCTCGGAGGCACGGGCCTCCCACGATATTCGCCCGGTCAGGAGTTATGAAGTCGTCCAGCCGGAGAACCAGTTGGCTATATTTCGCGGGGATAGGTCCGCGCGCGGTGCTTGCGGTTCTTCCAACGCTACCACCCGAACGTCCGTCGTTCTCGGCAACCACCACGGATCCACGCCGGGTCCGCGTCGGATCCGCGTCGGATCAACGTCGGATCCACGACGAGTCGACGGAGTAGTCGGAGACGGAATAAAAGATGAATTCGCCGACCAATCTTTCGACTCTTTCGTAGTCGTCTTTATTTTCTCTTCTTATACGTCCATCTTTATAAATTACAAAAAGTCGAGTAAAAAAAAGAAGTGTACCGTGTGCGTGCGTACAGATTATCGCAAAAATCACCATTTTCTCGCTCCGAGGCGTACCAGAGAGGTCGAGTTGTCTAACACTGGGCTAATGGTTTCTCTAATCCTACGGGACAGCGCGGCGCGCGCGCGAATCGAAAGTAACAGCGTAAACGGCTAACGGGGAGAGACGTATAAAAATAATTTACTCGCGCCTCGTGCCATGCGTGGGCTTCGTCTCAGCAGTTAGTCGACTATTTACAACGGAGACGACATCTCGCGCGGCACTACGACCAACGCCGTCTTCAAAAAATATATATTTATACATTTACATGTCCATTTATATATATTTATATAACTATCGTCTACTCGTATATACAAATACGCGATCCGAGGGATCGGAATAAATAACGAATCTAACGAATCTCCCGGGACGCGCGTTCGCCAGAGAGGGAGAAGATGGCGCGTGGCGAGGTCGAAGCGCGGAATTTCCAAGCGGAACAGGGAACAAGATTATCGTATGTACAGTGAGACGACGGAGGGCGACGTCGACCCCCCGACGTTCGCCCATTTTACATAATACAACGCTCTAAGCTTACGATCGCGAACCGATAACAACGTTTCTCACCGTCTCAGTCTTTAATACGCGTCCGTGGAACGTCGTAATAAATACGCTGTGTCGATCGTTTCGCGTAATACTGGGAGACGAGGAGCAACCCGCTCGAACGGAGAGCTCCGTCGCGCATCTCTTCGCGGCAGGATCACCCGGACACCACCTTGTCTCGAGGACATCGTCATCGTCGACGACGATCGGGGGAAAGCGACGAGAGACTACGGAAAGATCCTTCGCCAGGAAGGAGGTAGTCTCTTCGGCAAAATAGGGACCAGGGACGACGAAAAGAAGAAGGGCGTGAGAAGGGTGTGAGAGGGGTGGCCAGGCCTAGAGGCACGTGTGTATCGTCTTCTTGATTCTGCAGAGCTGACACTTGACCTCGCAGCACCAGTGGAACGTGCAGGCGCATCTCTCGACGACCGTCACCTCTTGCGTCTTGTAGCCTCTGCCGCAGCTCGGGTTCTTCTCGCAGAACGGCGGCGAGGGCTCCAGGTAAACGAGGTCCTTCGGACCGGGTGGCTTGTGCTCCGGGTTGTAAGGCTTCAGCTGAAAGTTGTACCGGTGTCGTCGACCCAGGCCCTCCCGATGCCCGTGCACCGAATTGCTCGCCGAATTGCTCACGATCGCGTTCCCGTTGCCACGCACCCGGTCCGAGTTGCTCACCATGACTCTCGACGCGCCGTCGAATCGATCCTTCAGATTGTCCCCGACCACGCGGAAGTTCGGCAGCCTCATCCAGCAGGTTTTCACGGTGCAGGAGCCGGACATGCCGTGACACTTGCACTCCTGCCGCATCTCCGAGGACACGTGCTGCGACACAAACGGAAACCACGAGCTCGTCTCTCTTTCCTCCTCCTCCTCCTCCTCCTCCTCATCCTTCTCCTTTTCCCGTTGTTACTCCAAGCGTAAAAGTAGGTGGAAGAAAGGAAAAATGGAAACTTACCGCTCTGCCGGCCTCGTTGTTGTGCAGATTCATCTTCTCGCGTAGATTTCGGCCACGCTCCCCGGTGTCGACGAATTCTCGGGAGAACTTGAAGCCGTAACCGATGTTGTCCGAACAACCACCCCATTCCCAGTCCCGCGTGGCGGATGGTGCTCGCGATTGGTGGGTATAGTCGCAGGAGCACGACTGGATGCTGCCCTCGCTGCACGCTCTCGCGATGCTGTGAGTCACGGCCGCGCTCGTGATGGCGTAGATGAAGGCGGTCTCTCGGCAACCTGCAACGACGCGACACCGTTAACGTCCGACGAATCGGTTCCACCCATTCGTTTCTTTCGTCTCTCCGATCGGCTCTCAACGATCGAACAGGAAGCGACCTGTGGGGGAAGAGGACTCGCGCTCCCGATCGGCCGGACGAAACTTTTGCGACGCCGGTCGGGAACGTGGGAGGCGAGCGGTGACGTCAGGCAACGTCTCAATCCTTCGCCGTTCGTGTGGACTACCTGCGCGAGGGCTCGCGCGCGCGCACGCCAGAGAGATCCGCTGCGCGCAGGTGTGGAAGGAACCCACGACGTCGTGGGCAAGGGAAAAGAACGCGCCACGGTCTCCCAGAGAGAAAGAGACAAAGAGAGAGACAGGGCCAGAGAGTGGAGAGCAACGGAAAAGAAGGGAAGAGAGAGAAAGAGAAAGGGAACGCGACCTTAACCCTGAGTGGGCTGACCCGAGAGGCACCTCGACCTTATCTGCATAAGGCGCAGGTGCCTGCCGGCACCTTTGCGACCAGCCGACCAAGGTATCGCGAGTTACCTCGGCATGGAAGGGTCGTTTCGCCAATTGCCACCTTTATGGTCGCGCAGATAACGACAGGTTATCTCGCTATCTCCACGATGCCGCGACGAACGGTATCAACGCGATCCCTCGGCTATACCTCGTGGGTCGAAGGTGCAAAGGACGACCACCGGGTCTCGGCCGGGAGGATTCACCCGCGACCAAGTGAGACGTCAAACCCCGGGCCCGGGTGTCGGGGAAAAGAAACCGGTATTGGAGACATAATCGACCGAGTCAAATTTCGGAGCGAGATCCAAATTCGTCACGAGTGTTTTCCGCGCGCGGCTGCCACTCGGCTGTAGGCAGCGTACGCGTACACTCGCGCGTCCTGTGGACCAGAAAAGGAGCCCTCACGCTGCGAAGAATGGCGGGAGGAAAGGAAGAACGGCGGAAAGAAAGGGACGATTTTCCCTAATCCCCGGATCGAAAGAGAAGACCGGGGGCCGAAACGGTGGTAGACAGGAGCGACTGTCCTTTGCAGCCTCGAGGTACGACTCACGGCGAGGAACAGCCGACGGCGAGGGAACGCAAGATTTACGCCGTTCCAGCGCGTTACAGCGCCGAATCCTCGGCCTGTCTGCCCGAAAATTTCGTCGGTTCCGGATATTATTCCTCATCATCTCCGACTGCCATGACGGAAAGGATTACACGGCTGGTGGGAGTTTTTCTCGCGAAAACGCTGCGTATGAACGGTGCCCGTTGTCGGCGATGAAATCATCGCGATACTCGGAACGTCTATCGCGATCGTCGCCGAAGCGAGCGCGACTTTGAAGCGAGCCGGACCGCGCGATCGTTTTCGCCCGGGATTTTATGATCGTCAAACAGTCGGATGGTCGAGATAAGGATCGAGGCGAGTCGCGCGAGCGGTTTTTAAGGCGAAAAATCGTTATCGAGGGGAACACGGTCGGGAAAGGACGCGGAGGGACGCGGGGGTGCAGAGAAAAAAGCACGCCTCGATAATCCGGAGGGACTTTGTTTGCCCTCGCGGACGAGAAGCGCGCGACGACGGCTTCGAAGCTTCGTCGTTCGGTACGCGATAAACGGTTTGACGTTCGCTTTATCGGCCGGTGCAAATAGCGCGAACAAAGTGGAGGCACGTTATGTTGCCACAGGGCAAACAGTCGGTCGCATCGCTGAAAACCCTTGGCTCGTTTGCGTACCTGTTCGCCACGGCGGAAAAACCGTATCCAGCGTCTTCGAGACGCTTCCGATACGATCCACGTGTTCGGTACTGCGCGGGAGATTGGGGAAAAGAAGAAATCGGCGAAAATCGCGGCCAAGATCCGGAGAGGAAGCCAGAAGAAGATCGAGAAAGGCAGAGCAACGTCGAGGAGCAACGTTCGATCCTCGAAAAACTGCATCGACCGGCTCGCGTCGTCTGAATGCAAAAGTGCTGCGAGGGTAAGAGGAGGCCGTGAAGGGAGGAGAGGGGTGCGAAAATGCGATCGCCATATAGGCCACGGACTGCCGCGGGAACTCGTACTCGGGCGAGCGTGGAAGCAAACAAGATGTAAAAATCACGGTGGACCAATGGGGGGCAACGGGCCCATTGGCTCGCGGCTCACGTTTTCGCAAGAAATCGTGGCGTGCCGTCGACACATGTAGCCCATCATAGGCCGCGATTTATGGCGGCGTAACGCCGCCGTAAAAACCCGATGACGGGTCTCCGTATAAGACGCGACGCTCGCGCGCCACGCCGATCCGATATCGATCGCGAATTTCCCCTGTAAATGGCCTCTCTCGATCCTCCTCGTCCTCGTCCTGTCCGTCCACCCGGCCGCGTCTCTCTCGATCCGCGTGCACACCGGATGCGCCGCCGTTCGCCTTCCCTTCGGCCGCTTTCGTTCCGCGTTGCTCCGCTCTCGAGCGGAATCGATACGAGGCCCGTGAAATCGAGGGAAAACGCGAGGCCCGCACGGAGGCCTCGCGAGATTCGCAGTTTACCGAGCAATTAGACGGCCACGGAGGATCTCGGCTCGGCATCCACGCGAGACCGACACCTCGGAACGATGCGCGCCGCAGGGGAAAGGAGCGAGCAGGACGAGCGGTGGCCGGAGAAGGAGCGCGAACGAAACCGAGGGTAGACACCGATGCGGTAGGTGGCTCTTGGCGGCGAAATGATTACAGGCCGCGAACCTACTCACTACCAGCTATAATATCGAGTACAAACGCCTCCAAAAGTATGCCGGCGTTCCTGCGGACTGGACACGCGCGGGGTATTCCTGCCGTTCGAATCTCGTCGAACGGACGTTACCGAATCGAACGGACCGGGGATCTCGGTCCCGGCTCGCTGCGACCGGTGTACATAGAAAAAGCAGCAGGAAATAGAAGAGCGCGAGGCCTGTGAAAGGGAAGATGGGGAGAAAAACGAGAAGAAAAGCACACGCGTCGGGTGTAATCGTTCGACCCCCTGCATAATCCGGAAACGACCGTTTAGGTCGCCGCGCGGCGACCAGTCTGCGCCGGAGCCACCCCTCGATCTCTAAATACGAGTACGCGCGTACATTACGGATCGCCGATAGCGATCTGCGCTTCCCCTCGCGCGAGCGAGCGCGAGTTCGAACGCGCGTAGATCTAATCTGGAAGATCGGTTCGAAGACAAAAGATACGAGTCGGCGGAGCGGAAGAGGGACCGAGAAACCGGGATACCGGTCGCGAGGGGTGAAAGATCGGGGCCCTGTTCGTCTGTCGATTCCTCTCGACGAGCAAACGAACCCGAAAATTCCCTCCACGACGAAACGGAGCGTACTCCGCGAGGTGTACGCTTCTTCCTCGGACTATGGCTAGCCGTGGAAGAGACACACGGGGTGCATTGGAGCGCGTCGATGCGTGGCGTCGCGGAAGGGTTACGAGCAACGATCTCTTCCTCTCTCCGCTACTTTGTATCCCGGTGCTTCTTTTTCGGTTTTACTAGCGCGATAAGTGGCCATATGGGGACACCGAACGTAATAGGGCGGGAGCGGGCCGAGCGAAAAAGCTCGGCTTACAATCGCCTCGACGAGATCTAAAAGAGCCGCAGGGGAGCGAGAACTGGTACGAGAAGGTCCATTATCAGGTTGCAAAACATACATCTGGTCGGTGAGGGCACGTGCCCGGGGCCTTCGGACCAAGGGCACGCCCCTTTCGATCCCCTCGTTCCTCTCCGCGCTCCTCATCCTCGCCCGTCTCTCCCTTCGACGTGCCCCCGTACCAGTTTCCGCAACAACCCTCCGCGACGACACCCTGTCGTCTTGGAATAATCTTCCGGTTTGCAGCCTCTGCGAGGCCACGTTTCGCCGCGTTTCGTCGCGTTCCCGCCACCGCCACCGCCGCCGCGGCGGCCGAATACCAAACAGCCGATTCTCGCGGTTTTGCCAGCCCGAATTCCCGAACCCTCGCTCGGCCCCCTTCTTGCTGCCTCGGCGAACGCGAAACTCGCGTGTTCCCGGTCTCGCGGATAGAAAAACACCCGCGTCGCACGTTTCCGTGACCGATTTACGTAAGGAGAAATTAATCGCGTACTAACTAACGGTACCGTAATCTAATTACGCTCGTACCTTAATTACACGGCCGAAGGGGTGGTGTTTTACGGTGCTTCACGGATCGATCGGCTAACGATATTACCGCGTGGAAACTCGACCACTTTGTATAGCTTATTCGCCGATCGTTCGCCGTTTATCGATGACGCGTAGCGATTGCCGGCAGCGTTCCGCGCGGAACCGCGTGATCCGCGTGATCCGCGAGAGATAAGATCGCCGCGAGGCGGAGGATTTTCGTGTCGCGCGGTTTCGTGCAGCCGCCGCGCACCGGCTCCCGTCTCGTTCGTCTTTCTCTCGGTCTCTTTCCTCGAAACCTCGTCTCCTGTAAATCTCTATCGGGAATACCGGTTGTCGGAGACGACCACGGACAATGGGCTGTTTTTTGGAACGTGGAACGAGTCCACCTTATGGTCCGTTATACATGTATATATGTACGCGGCCGTTTTATCGCGAATCTCGATTCTTGCCGACTAGTCCGAGCGGTAAGCATCGTCGGAGAAGAAAAAGGAGAGAGCGGAGCTTCGTGGAGATATTCGTTAGCTCCGGGAGTATAGGAACGAGGGTTCGATCTTTCCAATTAGCGGACACTCGTGCGTCGCTGATGATGATTTCCCAGCGACAAATTAACGAACCCCCGCCGATCGGTCCAGGGAAGGTGGAAAAAGGCGGGTCGGGTGGAAAGAGAAAGGAAATCTCGTGCTCACCTCTGTCGACGATCTTGCCAAAGAGGTTTTTCCCACGGAGAAAATTCTTGGTGGAACAGTTCCATCGGCGATTGCGAAACTGATGCTGGCACTCGGCGATCGCCTGGTTCGCACCCCTGGCCACGGCCATCAGTACTCCTGGGTTTTCCCTGGCTAGCCTGCGCTGCTTTCTCCTCAAGGTCGCGTACACCGTGGGATCCATGTGGAGGGAGGCCGGAGACATTGGCAAAAAATTGTTCGGCTCTCCTGCCTTGGCGATTCCCCTGGGAAGAAAAGCGATCGAGTCGCTCCGTTTAGGTTCTCCGAGTGTGTTTCGACGTCGAAAAAAGGAACGAGTCGCGCTATTCTCTCGTGCATCTCTCGTGCATCTCTCGTCCTCTGCGAGACCGCGGACGAGGCAAGAGAGACGGAGAGGCCGGGGCCCGGGCCTAGGAAACGGACAGGCGCCGCGCGAAAGATGACCCTTTCGAACAAGGATCGCGTTAACGAAGAGTTTTGACGGGGAACGATGCCGGTGGTCTCGCGGGACCAGTCCCCGGTCCGTCATCGACCACCTCCTGGTCCCATTAGGCGCGACGTAATCGTGCGAAATCGTTCGTTCCGCGATTCGCGTCCGCGATCGCGTCGCATTGACATTTCTCCTGCGTTCGTTCGACGCTAATTTGGTTTACGCGTAAAAACCACGCGTCCCGAGTGCCCGGAGGGCGGAAGGAGGGGAGAGACGGGGAGAAAAACGGAAAGGGAAGGAGCGAAAAGAAGAGGACAGGGCGGAGGAACGGGTGAAGGAGCGCGGAGAAGGATTAGTTCGAAAGACGAAACTGGTTCAACTGTTTCGGTCAACGGTAGCCGCGTATATATAAATCAAGCTGCCGCGCGAGTTCTGGCTGCGAAAGAATTCGCGTCTCGATCGATCGAGCATCGCGCAGAAAAACGCTCGAGCGAGCGGTCTGCCCGCGTCCCTTCGTGGGAAGAACGTGCAAACTTTAGAGAAACGTCTCGCGCGAGTTCGGGGCCGCTTCTGAAATCGCCGGGAAGGATCTTTACGCGGGGACGAGGCACGTTTACGACCCCTACGAGCCGCGTCGTTACGCTACGTCTCTACGCGCTTGGTTATTTTTCCTGGTTGAGAATGGAACGAGTGGAAGCAGCGCCGGGCCCCACCGGTGATTCGAAAAATAGCTCGCGCCCGCTGGGATCGGATCTCTCGTCGCGGCGCGTAATAAACAGCTGATCACGGTCCTCGAATCTCCGTCGACGGTCCGTTGTCAACGACTGGCCTGACGCCTAGCAGAGACAGCCGAGTGGAACCCGGCCGCGAGGGCCACAACGCGAAAACCCAGCCGGCTACGGCCGAGATCTCTCGTTGACACTCTGTCGGCCGTGAAAATAAACCGAATCACGATGCAACCGATCGTAAAAGCCGCGAGCACGCGGCCCACCCTCCAACACCCCGGAAGTGGCTGTTCTGCTGGCGGTCACTCGACGCCGATCCGATTCGAATCGACCGATTCCTATCTCGCACGAAACGAATGCAGCTCGGCCGCGCGATCGCGCTCGTCGAGGCGATTCGAACGAAATCGAGGAATCTCGGATGGAGAGAGAGCGCGCGCGCGCGCGCGATAATTAGTCGAGCGGCTGGATACCGAGCGCGTGGCGTCATCGGCCTCCCTTTCAGCGACCGCAATCTCTTTTCGTCGATGCGCGAAATTCTTGCCTCTCGACCCGCTAGCCACGAACGCGCCGACGTATCCGCGGCCCCGCGGACGCGCGCGGCCGCTTAGCGGCTGCAACGTTCGTACGATGCATTCGATAAGCGATGTCCATAAATAAGCCGCGCTCCGGACCGGTTAGGATATATCTATTGCTTGTAATTTACGTCGGACAGAAAGCTCAGGGACGACTCTGGACGATCCTGCCCGGTTCCTGCCCGGTTCCTGCCCGGTTCCTGTCCCCTTCTCCTCCTCATTCCTCGCCATCTAGCCTGTCCACGTGTTTTCTGCCAGCGGACACGCCACCACGACGAAAATAATTTATCGACCGGCAAGAGCTAATAACGATCCGGTGCCACGCGCTCTCGGTGACAAAAGGCTATATTAAATTCGCGCGATTATCCCAGAATTATTCCCGCTGCTCGTCCATCGAAATTCCCGTTTCGGCGAGACGCGGCTCGTTCCTCCCCGCGGACCAACTGGATGGAATCGATACGGAGCGATCGGTCGCGAGCGCGTGTCCGCGTCGCGATCGCATCCGGAACGACGTCGCGAATCAGGTTGAGATGTCATGGCTCCGATCCGATGCGACCGCGTCTTTTTCGCTCCGTCGACCGACTTATCGTCTGGTTGCACGTCTCCCTACCTTCTTGCCGATCCTCCGCGCCCCGAGGCTGCGCCGTTACCGCGAATCGGCTGGATTTTTCGATCGTCCCCGGCCGATCGCGCCTCTCTCCTAGCCGGGAGCCACGGGATCGAACGGGGGACCACCCAGAATCGTCGCCGAGCGTTTCGCCTAGCGGGACCGTAGGATAACGCGATAAGTAATCCCCTGTTACCGTGGAATATATTACCGATTCGCCGGCGATATCTGGCTACGCGGAGACCGCGACGAGACTGAGAGCGGCGTAAATTCAGAGAAAAGTCAATCCACCTTTCGCCGACACGGACGACGATAAATTACACCCGACTGCGAAATTCGAAGCAGCCTGTCGTACGCGTCCACGCGAATTTACCGTCGTATTAGATTAATTAATTCGTAGGTAATAATTACCTGCGCGGCGGACGTGCGTGGCGGTGTGTTAAATCAACGCGGCTGGAAAAGCAATCGAGCCCGTCTGATTTATCGCCGGCACTTTATCGTTATGCGGATACTTCCGCGGCTATCTCTTTCGGTCGCGAACGAGCGCGCTGGCCGCCAAGCATGCACGCACGCTCGCTCGCTCGCTCGCTCGCTCGCTCGTTCGCTCGATCGTGTACCGCCGACATTATTTATTACCCGGCTAATGAAGTTAGCCATTATCTAATATCCATCCAGCGTTTTCTTGTTCCCGCGACGTGCACACGCTTGAGCCTATGAGAAATCATTGGCGGATTGAAACGAACGAGCCGGGGCTTATGATTAATGAATTAATAAGAAGGCGCGCGAGTGTCGCTGCCACCGTTAGCTCGATAAAAGACGCGGGACAGGTGTTAACGCGGCTCTTGCCGGGCCGTAATTAACCCGGAAAGGTTAGCCGGAGCGATGGACGAAAATTCGCGATCGGTCCGCGGCCGCGTCGAGGATCGACGTCGGATCGAGCGGCCGATCCGTCGCACCGATCCCGCGGCCATCGAATCGTCTTCGCTTACCACCACATCGATCCTCTGCCACGGTTCTTGTTCCTGGTGATCTCCGCGATGGACCCGTGCACCGCCACCGCCAGGGCGCCGATGATCATCCAAAGCCTCATCTTCGGTTCGCGATCGAGCGCAGCCGGCTCGGCCGTAGAAGATCCTCTCTCGCGATCCCGGTCGTGCTTCGTCGAGCGGCGAGATACACCACGCACCAATGCTCACTCACCGAATTACGAACATCACACGGTACTCTTCGGGATCGGCGACGCGCACATAACAGACGTCGAAGCGTTCGTCGAGGGCAGACACTCGTAGGCGACACACGTGACCGGTGGCGTGGATCGGTCCGAAAGGTTTAAATCATGGTCGTGGGCGGACGGTGTGGCGTGGCTACTCGGGGAATTCCGCGGATGGATGGAAGGAAGGAAGAAACGTCCAGAGCGGCCGGTGTCCCGAGCGAAACGGTGCGCAGGAGGAGAGTCAGCTGTCAAAGGCGGCAGCTCGATCGCAAGGACCGTAACGCCGTCAGGCCGTCGAGTGACTGTAGTCGGCGGAGCGGACCGGGCGACGTCGAGTGCCGGAAACTCACCCCCCGAAGGGCTTTTTTCGAGGGGTGGGTGTCACCCTTGCCGAGTTCTCGCCGAATCAGAGGTGGTGGGAGAGGCACGGTGAGGCCGAAGGATACCTGGCAACCCTCCTCGACGTTTTCCGTCGCTTCTATCGGGTCGGCTAATAACCGAGTTGCCGAAAGCAGGCCGACAGCTCCGAGAGATCGGTAGTCCCGGCGAACGTGCGTGGGCCTCTACGGGATCTAGACCCTCTCCGTCGCGGTATACTCGATCGGTCCGTTTCGTTTCCTTCTCTCGTCCCGTCCCGTCCCGTCTCGTCCCGTCCCGTCTCGTCTCGTCTCGTCTCGTCTCGTCTCGTCCGGTCTCGTCTGGTCTCGTCGCGTCTGCCAAAGTCTGCAGAGATCTCCGCTTCGCGCCGGTGTCGTATAAGTTGCTTTATCGCGGTATCGAGAGGGCGAGTCGCGTGGCGAGTACGCGCGCGATCGATCGACCGATCGGCCCGATCGAACCAACGAATCGACGAACCGACCAAAGGACCAACGAACGAACGTACGTGCGAGCGAGCAGCGAGCGAACGAGCGTCGACCCGCGAGAGAACGTGCCAAGGGGAGACTCGTCGTTTCCTTCTCTTTCGCTCGGTCTCGGGGGGTACGGTACCGACTTGGAGAACCAATACCCTTCGACGGACAAGTATAGGCCTCGGCTAGCGACTGCACGCGCTCCTCCGCGGAAGAGCCGATCTCTCTTCAGAGAGAGAACGGAACCTTCTCCCCTCTCCACCCCAAGGCTCCTCTACGCGTCTCGTTTCTTCTCCCCCCTAGCCGACTCCTTCCTTCTCTCTTTCGCCGCGCCGCTCTCTTCCTCTCTTCGCTCCTCTTCGCTTCTCTACCCTTTTCTCTTCGCCGTCTCTTCGCTTCTCCGCTCTTCGCTTCTCTTCCCTTCCGTTTTCCTCTCTTCTCCGTCCTTCGTTCGTCCGCGACGCCGACACCGGGCTGCGGAGGCAGCAGCGGCGTTCGCTTCCCCTCGACCGCTATGGATCGCCGGACCCCCCAACGCCGATCCAATCTCCCCCCGCCTCTCTTCGTCCAG